TGCTTCTCCTACAGCCACTCCGACGACCGCTTCTGGCTGGCGCTCACCATCTTCTTCATGCTCTGCCCGTCCGTGCTGGTGCAGCTCACGCTCATCTTCGTGCACCGCGACATCAGCCGCGACCGGCCCCTCATCGGGCTCATGCATCTGCTCCAGCTCGGACCCATCATCAGGTGAGCGCAGCGGGGACGCGGGGACCCCCGGCAGGGATGCGGGGATACCCTATAGAGATGAGGGGACCCCCCCCAGCAGGCACCGGGTGAGAGCAGGGTCTCTCCCGGCAAGCCCGGAGCTGCTCCTGATGTGTCCCCATCCTGTTCCTCCCTGGGGGCTCTGCTGCTCCTGTCCCATGGGGGTCTTGTGCTCGGCCACCTGCACCCAGTGGTGCCACGGTCCTCCCCAGGGGTTGCTGCCGGCTCTCCTCCAGGCACGACTCGGCTCTGCCAGCCTGTTGCATCTCAGCTGCTCTAAAGGCTCTTCCTACTGCTGCTTCCTGCAGCCCAACTGCTCCCTTTGCCTCTGGGTTTTGTCCTGTTCTTGCTTAGGCTGGGAGCACAGATGTAAATCCTGGCTGGGTGCTTGAGGTGACAGGGGTCCTGCCCCCCCCCCCCCCAAAGGTCCCCAGTCCTGGCGCCAGCTTTGGGACGTGGAGAGAGGGGCTTGGTGCAGGAGTGGGGCTGGTGTGGAAGCTGGGGTCCACTGAACCACGCTGGGAGAGGAGGTGGGTGTTGCACAAGCCAGAGAAGCGCTGATCTCTCACTGCTTGGGAATGCTGTGGAGCCTCCCTGGGCTGTGCCACCCCGGGCACCCTGCTCCGTGAGAGCACACAGAGGGTGCTATGGGCAGCATGGCAGAGCCACCATCTCCAACGGGTCCTGCCCCAAGGGCACGCTTTGGGGCACACCATGGCCTGTACCACACTTCCTGTGGCACCAGGAACAAGCAGGGTGCTGGAGACATCCTTGTTGTGATGTTTCATCTTCAGAAGCGACCGGGGAGCCTCACCTCGGTGCCATCAGCCATTTGATGGGCTGTGGGGCCACATCAGCCCATGCTGACCCATGGTGATGCATCAGATGGTGATGATAGTGCTTGGCCACTTGCAAGAGCCAGCCAGAGATGCTCAGGGAAGGCTGCTCGCTGGTCTGGTAATGGAGCTGAGAAGATCTGGCAGGGCACTGGGACTGCTGGGACTGCTCATGGAGCCAGACTTTATGGACTGAGCCGTTTTCCCGTTAGAGGTTGCAGTGAGCCATGAGCGTTGGCCTCATCTGGCAAGAGAACGTACCCAGAAACCTCATTCCATTTGGGTCTGAAACAGAGCAACTTCTACTGCCCTAATGAGCACTCACAGATAATTACATCCCATTGGCCCCAGAGCCAGCTCATCCCTGGGTGGGAGCCAAGCCTCTTGGATGGGTCCTCCTCTGCTGATTACCTCCAGCCCGTGCACCCCATTGCATGGCTGTGTGTGGAGGGGAGGGGGGTCCTCCCTCGTGGCAGGAACCCACATCCCCTGCGCACACATGAGGGTGTCCTGCGGGGAAGCGGCTGCGGAAGCGCTCTCTTATCTCTCCATGGCACACACAGCTTCACCCTGCGCTCCCCTTCCTGCCATCCCCACCAAGGAGGAAGCGTAGAAGCCTTCTACAAGAGGAGAGATCAAAAGTGGTATCAGAAGCTTCTCTCACCTCTGCTTAGAGGAAGGCATGCTTTTTGTGTCAGTGGGGGAAACGGAGCCCAAGAGTGATGAACAACTTCCTGTAGCTCTCATTCTGAGAAGAGCTACGGTTTTGTACCCTGGATGCTGCCCTTCTTGCATCACTTGTTGCATCCCTCGCTGGGGTGGTTGTTGTCCCCCTGCCCTACATGCTTCACCCTGAGTGCTGGAGCAGAGAAGTGACCACCGGGCATCCCCACGGTCCTGGTGTGACCCTGTCCTCATCCTGATATCCTGCCCTCATCCTGACATCCGAAGGCCAGGGACTGCCCGCAGCACTTCTGAATGCTCACTCACATCATTTGGGCTGCTCTCAGCAGGGTCAGGGTCCATCCAGCACTGGGTGAAGGGGGTCTGGATGCACTGGGGGGGGTGGCACATGAGGCTGTGGGTGACACTGCCACATCCCTGCAGGTGCATGGAGGCTCTGCTGGTGTACTGCTGGTCGGGGAGGCAGGAGGAGCCCTACGTCACCATCACCCGCAAGCGGCGGCTGCGAAAGGGCTACGAGGTGGAGATGGAGCAGGAGATGGGTCACTCGGAGCGGCGCCTGGCCACGCACCGCAACGCCTTCAAGCGCATGGCGGTCATCCAGGCCTTCCTGGGCTCCACGCCGCAGCTCAGCGTCCAGCTCTATATCAGCATCCTGGAGAAGTACGTCCCTGCTGCCCGAGGTAAGGGTGCCCGGTGCGTGGGGACCCACAGGGACAGGCTCCATAGCTATGGATGGTGGTTGGCGTCCCACAGAGCTCTGTGGGGATGGTGGCCACTGGATAACGTGGAGCACGACCTGCACTCATCCATCCCTGGTTTGCTTTTCCCACTCTGTGCTCTCCACCTGGATGTGACGCTTGGGAAGGCGGGAAGAGCTGGACATGCTACTCCCAGCCCTGCTGCTCACAGATATCTGCACTACAGGGCCATCCATGCACCCAGTGGCCTGTCCCATGAAAATGCCATGTCCCTGCCCCACGTTGCTCCAGCCTGCAGCAGTTGCTGTTGTTTTCCAGCCAGCTACATGCTCTGGCTTCCTCACAGCCCCTCTATTGGATCTATTTCCAATGACAGAAATAGATCAAGTAGAAATAGATGGAAATAGAATAGAATGCTCTGGCTTCCTCACAGCCCCTCCGCTGGATCTATTTCTGCGCCTCTCCCAACAGCCGCAGCTCCCAGTCCCGCGCTTCCACTCCCAGGCTCCTTTGCCTGCTCCCAGGATGTTTATGAGCTCGGGGCTGGATGTGCCGGAGCAAGCTCTTAACTCCCACTTCGGCATGCTGCGGAGCCAGACACGCAGGAGCTCTTGCACCACAGCGGAGCAGCGCCTGGGGACGGAGCTGCCCTCACCAACCCACTCTGTGGCCGGGCTGGGAGCCCAGAGCTGTGCCCATGGAAGAGTGAACATGGGGGATGCCCCATAGAGACCCCCTCCTTGGCCATATCCCCCTGAAAGGGGGTTTTAGGGAGTGGAAGCATCAGAGGGAGGATGAGCACCAGTGCCCCTCCAGCAGCAGATGCAGGAGGTGAATCCAGGTTGGCACATTCCAGGTCATTCCCTTGCAGCTCGGGTGCCTGAGCTCAGTCCTGCATCTCACAGCCATCACCACTGCCATGGCACAACTGGGACCAGATACTTCCCATTTGTTCCATTGCAGTTTTCCTGGCTGCAGTAAATGGGAGCAGCTGCCAATGTTCCGTATGAATGATCTTCATCCTGAGTGATAAGACTAGGGGTGATGAGTTCAAACTTAAACAGGGGAAGTTCAGGTTAGATATAAGGAGGAAGCTCTTCACTGTGAGGGTGATGAGGCACTGGAATGGGTTGACCAGGGAGGTTGTGAATGCTCCATCCCTGGTGGTGCTCAAGGCCAGGTTGGACAGAGCCTTGGGTGCCATGGTTTAGTGTGAGGTGTCCCTGCCATGGCAGGGGGTTGGAACTGGATGACCTTAAGGTGCTTTCCAACCCAAACCATTCTCTGGTTCTATGATTCTATCTTGCCCCTGGATGAGGCCGGCTCTCGAGATGCTCTTGGGGTGAACGGTGGGCTACAGTCCCCAGCGCTGCCTGACTGCTCTGTTCTCTCTCTTTGCAGCGGTCCTCATGGGCATCTGCCTCGTGTCAGTCACCTATGGAGCCCTCGTCTGCAACGTCCTGTCCATCCAGGTCAAGTACGACGACTACAAGGTCCAGCTGCGGCCGCTGGCCTTCCTCTGCATCGTGCTGTGGCGCAGCCTGGAGATCTCCACGCGCGTGGCCGTCCTCGTGCTCTTCAGCACCGTCTTCAAGCACTGGATCATCCCCATCGCCCTGGCCAACCTGCTGATCGTCTTCTTCATGCCTTGGGTGCAGTTCTGGCGCAGCGGCACCCGCCTGCCCGACAACATCGAGAAGAACTTCAGCCGCGTGGGCACCGTGGTGGTGCTTTGCGCCTTCACCCTCCTCTATGCCAGCATCAACATGTTCTGCTGGTCGGCCGTGCAGCTCAAGCTGGCTGATAGGGACCTCATTGACAAGTCCCAGGACTGGGGCCGCTTGGCTGTGTATTACGTGGCACGGCTGATGGAGAACACGGCCCTCGTCGTCCTCTGGTACTTCTTCAAGACAGATGTCTATGAGAACGTCTGCACGCCGCTGCTGGTGGTACAGCTGCTCCTCGGCTACTGCCTGGGCATCTACTTCATGCTCCTCTTCTTCCAGTACCTGCATCCCTGCCGACAGCTCTTCCAGCACAACGTTGCTGACTTCTTGCACTGTGTTTGCTGTCGCCGGCGCCCGTCGGGGACCCCTCTGCACCTCGAAGCACCCTATGAGCCTGGTGTGAGGCACAGCATCGTCTGAGGGACAGCCAGCACCCGGCTATGGACGCAGGGATGTGCTGGCAGATGTGGCACAGACCAAGCACTGCTGGCCCTTGGTCCCTGCACATCCCACAGTGCCATGGGGACAGGAACGTGTGTGCCTGCCGCACACATGGACACAAAGGACTTTGGGATGCCCAAACTGCCGCTGCAAGCAGCCGCTGTGCAGTGCACAGCCCTATGGGTGCCCTGACAGCCCAAGCTGCCCGCTGCGGTACACACAGTGACCCTGGGGACACGGGGCCAGCGGGACTGTTTTAAGCAGTAAAGAACCTCTGCTGTGGCTGCGTGTCCGGGTGCTGGCGCTGACTCATGTGAGGGTGGGACCATCACCGTCGCGCCGGGGCTGGCACATTGATTGTGCTCACGGGTACCAAGCAGGGGCTGTGCCAGTGGGTACTGGGGTAAAGGGGGAGCCCCACAATGGAGCCGGGAAGAGGCAGGAGCATGGCAGGACAGGGGCCTGCCTCATCCTGCACCTCCCTCAGCGTGGCCATGGCCGCGGGCCAGGCGCGAGGCGGTGAGGAGCAATCCTGCCCAACCTGTTCCTCCAGGCCCCAGCTGCTGTTCCCAGCCAAGCACCCAGCACCGCAGGGCTCAGGACGCTGCAGTGGAGGGCAGGCAGGAGAGGAAGGGTGGCCGGCACAGCAGCAGGGATGCTGATGTGACCCGGGCATCCCGGTGCCAAATCAGGAGTGTGCCCCCCCCCTCCCCAGCATCCTTTGTGGGGTCAGCTCAGTTAGGAGGATGCTGGTGCCAGGCTGAGGGTGCTCATGGAGGTGCAGCACCGCTGGTGCTCAGTCTTAATTCACCCACCCTGGAGTGGATCCCTGGGTTGGATCCTGGCATCAGCACAGTGCTGGGGTGCTTCTCCTCCTCCTCCAATGGTTTCTTTCACAGAGGCAGTGAAGGCTGGTGAGGAAGGCCGGGAGCAGCACAACAGAGCTGAACCCTCTGCACCTTCCTCCCACCAGGAAATTCCCTTCAGAAAAGCCCAATTTGTCCCCAGATAGTGCAAACATGCACAAGGAGCACCCTGATGCCCTGCAGCACCCAGCCATGGTGCCATAGGGAACCCCTCCACGGTGACTGTACCCATCCAGCGCAGGGGACTGATGTCAGGGCTGTCTGCTGGGGTCAGCCCTGCCTTCCTGGAAGGCAGCCTTTGAAACCAGCCCGCATTTCCTCAAAGGCTCCTCAGGGGAAAGTCCCTGAGGAGCTGCTCCCATGGCCAGGGCTGCCACTGCCTCCATAAAGCCCCGGGCAGGCAGCACCGGACCTGACAGTGCACCATGGGCAACTGGCTGGTCAACCACTGGTTCTCTGCTGCGGTCCTCGTGAGTGTGTGGGGCTGGGGGCGATGCGGGGGGCTATGGGGAGCATGGGCTGGGGGGATCGCAGGGGGAAAAGGGGGCTGATGGGCAGGGAGAGACAAGCATCCCCTCTGCTCAGCCAACCTGCAAAGCACTGGTGGCCAGGGAGGGATGGGGCTCCTAAAGCTTAAGGAAAACGTGACTTAAAGGAAAGGGGGATCCTGAGATAAAGCTTAAAAATGGCATCACTTGCCTGGCTGCTTTGGTTGGGAATGTCTTCTCCCCATGGGAAAGCAGAAAGCTCCTGTGAGAGCCTGCACTAGGTGATGGTGGACACTGTGGATGACTGGTGCTGTGCCACGGCATCACTGGTGTTATGGGGCTCGTCTGGGTGGCACCGCTTGGGAGGAGCTGCAAGTGCATGAGAAACGGTGATGTGCAGCTTAAAATCATGGAATGTGTTGGAAGGGACCTTAAAGCTCCTCCAGCTCCAACCCCTGCCATGGGCAGGGACACCTTCCACTAGAGCAGCTTGCTCCAAGCCCCTGTGTCCAACCTGCCCTTGAACACTGCCAGGGATGGGGCAGCCACAGCTTCTCTGGGCACCCTGTGCCAGCGCCTCAGCACCCTCACAGGGAAGAGCTTCTGCCTAAGAGCTCATCTCAGTCTCCCCTCTGGCAGGTTAAAGCCATTCCCCTTGGCCTGTCCCTACATCCCTTGTCCCAAGCCCCTCTCCAGGTTTCCTGCAGCCCCTTTGGGCACTGGAGCTGCTCTCAGGTCTCCCCTTCAGGAGCCTTCTCTTCTCCAGGCTGACCCAGCCCAGCTCTCATCCGGTCATCTTCACTTCTTTAAACTACTGAAAGAAAACAACACAAGACAGAGGGGCTTTGGGAGCTCTCTGTGGCTGTGAGAGAGCTGCTGTGGGGTGCAGCAGGGTTGGGCACGGGCTGGCAGTGCCATGGGGCTGAAACTTCCTCCTCCCAGCGTCTTCCCCATGCAGCCCCAACCACCCTTGGGATATGCACCCGCTTTTCCTCCTTCCTTATCAGGGTGATGCACAGGGCTGCAGTGACCCAATGGTCCTTTTGCTAGACTCATCCTCCCCACCTTTGTCCCCATGCGCTGCTGCAGCTCATATGGAGCAGGAAGGGCTGCACTGTCCTGATGCACCCTTATGCTAGGGGCAAAGGGGGGTCCCTCATGAGGCCGCGGCTTGTCCCCGCAGGCAGCCTGGCTGGGCATCAACATCTTCCTCTTCACTTACTACTTCCTGTTCTTCGACCGGGATGCGCGGTATTTCTACACCAGGGCCATCCTCGGGGTAAGGTTCTCCCCTGCAGCACCCATGCCCCTTCCTTGTCCTGCCCTCTCCCAGCCTGCTCCATCCCAGTCCACAGCCCATGCTGGTCCCTGTCATGTCTCAGCCCAGCATCGCCACCTCCCAGTCCTTCTCCTTGCATAGGATTGTATAGGTTGGATAAGACCTTTAAGATCACTGAGACCAACTATTCCCCAGCACTGCCAAGGCCACTACTAACCCATGCCACTGAGGGCCTCATCTACATGGATCTGAACACTTCCAGGGTTGCTGGTTCCACCCACTTCCCTTGGGAAGCCTGTTCCAATGCCTGACCACCCTTCGGGGGGGAAACTGCCCTTTCCTGGCTCAGCAGCACCCTTCTTCCCAGTCTCCACCCCAGCATCACTCCACCTCCCATTCCCCATGTCAGCATCGCTCAACCCCATCCCGCCCAAGCCCCATGCTGAGCAGCACGGCTGCAGGCAGACGTACCCAACCTGTGGCATGGAACAGCAGCGCTCATCCCTCCTCCTTCTTTCCCCAGTCCGCCTTGGCATGGGCTCGAGCATCAGCCAAGTGCCTCAACTTCAACAGCATGCTGATCCTGCTGCCCGTGTGCCGCAACCTCCTCTCCTTCCTCCGCGGGACCTGCTCGGTGAGTGCTGCATGGTGGCACGGCCATCCCCATCCCTATCCCCATCCCTATCCCCATCCCAAGCCCCTGCCTGTCCCCCAGTGCTGCCGGCGGACACTGCGGAAGCAGCTGGACCACAACCTCACCTTCCACAAGCTGGTGGCGTACACCCTGGCCCTGCTCACAGGTACTGCCCTGCGCAGGCTGGGGTATGGTGGGGACCGGGAGGTGACCATGCGGTGACTGCCTGTCCCCTGCCAGCCGTGCACACCATTGCCCACCTCTTCAACCTGGAGCGCTACAACGGCAGCCAGCAGGCCACGGACAGCAGCCTGCCCGCTGTCCTCTCCAAGATGCACCTGCAGGGCAGCAACAAGTGGCTGAACCCCATCCACTCCAACCAGACGGTGAGCGTGACCCTGGCATCATAGCTCCCCATCACCATCAGCCCCTGCATCCCTAACCCATCCTGCTGTTCCTATAGACCGTCGAGTACGTGGCCTTCACCACCATCCCAGGGCTGACAGGGGTCATCATCACACTGGCACTCATCCTCATGGTCACCTCCTCCACCGAGTTCATCCGCAGGAACTACTTTGAAGTCTTCTGGTACACACATCACCTCTTCATCATCTACTTCGCTGGGCTTGTCATCCATGGCATCGCGTAAGGCTCTGGGCAGCAGGGAGTTGGGGTCCCCATTCCCAGGGCTCCCCATTCCCAGCTGGCTTCATGCATTGAGGCTAAACCCTGAACAAGGGGACATGAGCCGGGCTCAACCTTCATCTCCCCACAGCGGGCTGGTGCGTGGACAGACAGAGGAGAGCATCAAGGAGGTGCATCCACACCACTGCGCCCAGTACCTCACACACAAGGACAAGCACTGCAACCATGACTGCTGCAAGGACCCCGAGTTTGGGAGCATCCCTGCTGAGGTAGGGCAGTGCTGGGATGGAGGCAGGGGGAGAAGCTCTTCCCTTTCCCTTGGGATGCTCCAGCCCTTTGCTCTCCTCCATCCCACAGTCCTGGAAGTGGGTCCTGGCCCCTGTCCTCCTCTACATCTTCGAGCGGATCCTGCGGGTCTGGCGTGCGCGGCAGAAGGTGGTTGTCACCAAGGTGTGTGGAGCAGGAGCACGTGTTGAAGCTCCTTGCCATGATGGCCATGGGGAGATGGACAGGAGCCATTCTGGGTGCTGAGCCCCATCCCTCCCCATAGGTGGTGATGCACCCTGCCCGCGTGCTGGAGCTGCAGATGCAGAAGAAGGGGTTCCGCATGGAAGTGGGGCAGTACATCTTTGTCAACTGCCCCTCCATCTCCCTGCTGGAGTGGCATCCCTTCACCCTCACCTCTGCGCCCGAGGAGGACTTCTTCTCCATCCACATCCGAGCGGCTGGAGACTGGACCGAGCGCCTCATTGACACCTTCCAGCAGCAGAAGCTGGAGATGCCCAGGTAGGCTGTGGCCCACTCAAATGGGCTGATGTGGGGAGGCCCAGCTTCTTATCCAGATCATTCCCTGGCCAGGATCGAGGTGGATGGTCCCTTCGGCACAGCCAGCGAAGACGTGTTCCAGTATGAGGTAGCCATGCTGGTGGGTGCAGGTATCGGTGTCACCCCTTTTGCCTCTGTCCTGAAGTCCATCTGGTACAAGTTCCAGCAGGGTGACCAGACCCTCAAGACCAAGAAGGTACGGATTGTCCCATGGGAGCAGCGTGGGTTGGTTTGACACGTCATCCTTCCATCCCTCCTGCTCTGCTCTACTGCAAGCAATCCCTTTCTGCATCCCAGATCTACTTCTACTGGCTCTGCCGGGACACAGGGGCCTTTGCCTGGTTCAATGACCTGCTTGCCTCGCTGGAGCAGAAGATGGCCGAGTCGGGCAAGGCTGACTTCCTCACCTACCGCCTCTTCCTCACTGGCTGGGACACCAGCATTGTGAGTTGACCATGGGCAAGGCAGGGACATGGGGTGGCCCAGGAGAACCATGGCAATGGCTTGCAGGCAGTGGCGTATGGTGGGCATCAGCATTGGATGCTCCTCCATGGTGGGGGACCATTGTTGGGCTCAGGGGTGGTGGCAGGGTCCTCACTGCCCTGCTCTGGCCAGGCCAACAACGTGGCGCTGCGCTTCGACACTGCTGTGGACACAGTGACGGGGCTCAGGCACAAAACCATCTTCGGGCGGCCCATGTGGAACAGTGAGTTCACAGCAATAGCTGCAGCACACCCCAGGTGAGAGCAGGGCAGGGGGCTGAGGGTGCTGGGGGCACCCATCCTCCCTGAGCCCCTTACCTGGTGCTGATGCCCCCATGCTGTGTGCAGGTCGGTGGTTGGTGTGTTCCTCTGCGGGCCGGGGGCCTTGGCGAAGAGCCTGCAGAAGTCTTGCCACCAGCACTCCAGCCTGGACCCCAGGAAGGTCAAATTCTACTTCAACAAGGAGAACTTCTAAGAGGCAGCCAGAATGGGAGCCCCGCGGGCAGGGGACCACGCATCTCACCTCATCCCCCGTGCCTGGGGTAAGCATCTCCTGATGGGTACGTGCACTGAAGCCAGGCGAGACAAGGCAAGAATCCTTCTCCATGAGAAACTTGAGGGTCAAAGACTGCTCGGCATGGATCCCCATTGATAAACCAGAGGCACATGCTGCGATGATGCTGCTGCAGCAGTGGGAAGAAGCAGGAGCACCCAGCAGGCTGGGCAGAACTGTGGGACAGGGAGGGGACATGGCCGTGCTGAGCAGGCACTGGGGATAAGCGTGTCCCTCCGGGTTTAAGCAGTCCTCTGCGTGAAAGGGCACATTAAACCTGATTTCATTTGCACTAAAGCCTCTGTGTAGGTACTCTCCCCCCTCTGCTGCACTCGGGGGAAGACCCCCACTGCAGTCCTGATCCAACACTGGAGCAACAGCACAAGAGAAGACGGACTTGCAGTTGGAGTGAGTCCAGAGGCCATGGAGATGCGAGGGCTGGAGCAGCTCTGCTCTGGAGCCAGGCTGAGAGAGCTGGGCTGGGTCAGCCTGGAGAAGAGAAGGCTCCTGAAGGGGAGACCTGAGAGCAGCTCCAGTGCCTAAAGGGGCTGCAGGAAAGCTGGAGAGGGGCTTTGGACAAGGGCCTGTAGGGACAGGCCAAGGGGAATGGCTTTAACCTGCCAGAGGGGAGACTGAGATGAGCTCTTAGGCAGAAGCTCTTCCCTGTGAGGGTGCTGAGGCGCTGGCACAGGGTGCCCAGAGAAGCTGTGGCTGCCCCATCCCTGGCAGTGTTCAAGGGCAGGTTGGACACAGGGGCTTGGAGCAAGCTGCTCCAGTAGAAGGTGTCCCTGCCCGTGGCAGGGGCTGGAGCTGGATGAGCTCTGAGGTCCCTTCCAACACAAACCATCCCATGATCCAAATGCAGCTCACACAAAGGCAACAAATCCTGCTCCAGCATATGCAGGGAAGAGGGAAAACCACCCTCCCCGAGCAGGCTGGAGTGGTATCCGATTGCTGTATCACTTACAGGATAGAAAGCCGAGCTCCCCATCCTGCCCTTTGCTTACCCCCTGTGGAGAGCTGTGAACAGCATGGCACATCAGGAATCCATCCTTGCTCTGGTGCTGGGAGAAGAGAGGAAGGCGAGTGGTTTGTATTAGCCTGGATGCTCCCAGAACCGAACAGTCCCATTCGGCCTTCATGAGAGACCAAACAAGGCAACCAGAGACATGACTTTATTCAAACCCTCCTCCCACTTTATTTCAAACATTCATAAAATATACACATAGGAAAACACAAAGATGAATGGGAAAGGAAAATGTGAGGGGGGGAGGAGAAACCTCTCCCAAACGCAGCATCAGCTCAGACAGCAACGGGAAGCAGCTGCCATGGAGCATCACCTTCACCACACACCAGCCAGTGCTGCAAGAAGGAAGCGGAAGAGTGAGCCCAGCATGGAGAGGAACAACAGAGCCCGACTTTGAGCTCTGGTTCACTGAAGGGGAGCAGGCAGAGGCTGGGTTAAGGACATCACCTTGTCATGGTGCTCCTGTGGACTTCTGGATTTGCTCCTTCAGAATGAGGATGCTCTGGCGCTGTTCCGGGGGCAGCATGGCAATCTGGTCTGCTGTCAGCTGCAGAACCTGCATGATCAGAGCTGCCTGTGGGGACAGGGGACAGTCAGAGACAGGGTTACCAGAGCCAGGAACGGCTGCTCCCACCACCGTGAGGCACATAGGAAGTGCTGCTCCCAATGTCTCACCCTTTCGTTTTTGGCCTCTCACCTTCTCGTGATCCTGGGGGGTGACCTGGCTCTGCCCAGGGCTAAAGCCTCCGGGCTGACCAGCTCCCTGGACTCCTGCTCCAGGAATGCCTCCTCCCTGCATGCCTGCCCCTGCCATGTTAGGAACCTGTGAGCGCAAGAGATGAGGTAAGGACCAAGGAGTCTCTGGACTCAGCCATGTGAATACAGGAACATAAAGCAGATGATCCAATGGACGCCCTCATGGCCAGCCTGAAGACACTGAAGCATGAAGACACATGGGTTTTATGAACTCTCCTGCTCCTCCAACTCCTGCACATCAGAAGGAGGTGGAGAGGCCCAAGCCCTGTCCTATCCCCAACAGATGGGCAGTGCCTGTGGAGATGGGTGGATGCCCTGACTCCTTAAGAGCCACCAACCAAAGGCTTGCACTGCCAGAGGTGCTGCTGCTGCAGGATGTGATCAATCCCCACCCAGCCCCAATCTACAAGACACCACCAGCATCCAACTGAGCAGAGGTGCTGTGTGTACCTGGCGGGGCCCCTGCGGGCCACTGGCTCCCATGCTAAGCGGCCCAGGACCCTGTATCCCACCAGGCATGGGGCCACGCGGGTTGGGACCAGGCCCTCGAGGCTCCAAGCCCCGTTGCTCCATGACCCTGGCCTCCATAGCCCTGGCTTCCAGCACTCTTGGCTCCAGCCCTCGCGCTTCCAGGGCTCGTGCTTCCAGGGCTCGTGCCTCCATCACCCGGGGCTCCAGCCCTCGTGGTTCCAATCCTCGTGGCTCCAGCCCTCGGGGATCTCTCCCAACTGCAGAGGAAAGACAAGGCAAGATGTTGGAGAAAGCAGTGATGCAGGGAGCATGGAGCAAGTCCCCTACCTCCTGTGTCTGGGGGCTAGAAGGTGCAGGCCTTGGGGCAGAGGGGACATGCCTGGAAGAAGACTTTTACCCCATGGGACTGTCCCTCCTTGCCCTGGAGTCAGTTGTTCCACTGCCCAAACCCCTTCCTGTGTCTCCTGCTGGGGCAGTGGGCTCCATTCTGACTCCTTGTCTGTGCTCTTTAAAGCCACCCATTATTTCATGCCCCCTCTCTCACCTCGAGCATCCATCAAGGGCCCCCGCGGCTCTCCCATCAGTGGTCGGGGTTCTCCCATGGGTCCCCCCCTCATCTCATGAGGGGGGCCCCGGCTGTCATGCCCAGGCATATGGTGCATAGGGGCTCCTTGGTGGGGCGGCCCAAGGTAACCTCTGACGCAGAGAGACGAGGAGAGCAAAGCAGGAGGAGGAGAAAAAGCGAGAGAGTTGTGAATCAGACTTGGCTGGCTTGGCACGGCCTGGGCAGAGTGCTGGGATGTGCCCCCGAAGCCGGGCGCAGGGGAGGAGGGTGAGGCTGGCACAGGGACGGGCGCTGGGAGCCCCATGCCACAGGGCTGCTGCCACCACCCCGGGGATGCCCCGTCCCCGGGGAACCGGGCCAGCCCCCATGGGCAGCACCACACACGGTGCCATCCCTGTCCTCAGCGAGAGGTCACCCTTGGGCAGGGGATGGTGCCAAGAGCTCCTCTCCTTCCCTCTCCCCTCACCTGGGCTCCACTTCTCCAGTGACTGAGAGCAGGGTCCCTCCGCGAGGGTCATTCGGGGCATCTCCCAAAAGGCCTCGGGGCGGCGGGCCACTAGCAGGTAGAGGTCCACGCTGCATAGGGGCCCTCGGGTCTGGCATGGGCACTGCCAGGGAGACACACAAGAGCTCGTGAGGATCTGCATGACCAGTGCGGTGCTGACACTGTCCCCCAGTGCTCTCGGGGTCTGGGGCAGCCCCACACTGCTCCCCTGGTGCGGGTGGGTGAGCCGTGCTGACTGCCAAGGGGGCAGCCCCTCACACAGGGCCACAGCGCACCAAAACCCCTTCTCTGGCTGCTGGCTTCATCCCTCTCTGGCTCTGCCTCAGGGTTCTTATAGCTCCAAGTGGCCAAACTAAGCATGGGTGCCCCCATGGCAAGCCCTACAAGCACAGGCATCAAAACCCTGCTGATGTGGGGCCAGGAGCAAAGCAAGACCTGGTAGCGAGGTGTCAAAGGGGGCTGGATCCTAAACAAAGGTGCTCTCAAGCAGGCTCCCCGTTTCTACTAGTGCCTCGCCCTAGCCTGTTCTCTCCTCCAGCCCCAGAGGACGCCTTGCCTCCTCCTCTCAAGCAGGGCACACAGAGGGACCTGGCAGCCCCTGAGCACAGCGGAGGGAGCGCTGCTCTCTGCACACTCCACACGAGCTCCATGGCAGCAGGGAGCAGGCGGATACTGGGATACCTTGAACGCGCTCGATAGACGCAGGCCTGGCAGGTCCCACGGGCGAGAGCTGCAGGTTCCCTGGGCAAGCAGCAGGAAGAGAGGGAGAAGAGCAGACACGTAAATAGTGTATGCACACATGCACTCAGCTCTGGGACAGTGCAGGGTCACCTCCGCTCCCTCGAGTCCCCTAGGAAAACCTATGGGGATGCTCGTCTGGCTTGATCAACCTCTTCCACAACAGGTGTGACAGACTGCTTGGCACAACCCTTCCCTCACTCACTGTGTGACATGCAAGGCAAGAGGACATCCTGCTGAGACAACGGGCATGCTGCAGGGCCACGCTGTGCCCCACGATGCACAGCCAGCTCCTGCCCCTGCTCACAGCTCCCCACAGCACTCCCCAGTGCCAGCTTTCTGCCTGCTCCAAACCTTCTGGGTGCCAAGAACTACCTGGTTGCTCTCAGGAAGATGGTGCCCACCCCAAAGAAAACAAAGAGTCCAATGCCCCTAAGACCAGAGGGGCTCAGAACAGGTTCCTTGAAACAAGGCCTATGATACAAGTCAAGGCAACAGGGGTGTCAAGTGCCTGCGTGCCTCATTACTGGGAGAACGGGAACCCGGCGGGTGCACCGTAAGGAATCCGGCTGCGGGGCTGGGCCGTACAGACCGTGCCTGCGGAGGGAAAGGCAAGCATCATTCCCTGGGAAGTTCCCTGCCAAGCCTCGCCCTCTCGGTGCATGCAAAAGCGAGGGCCCAGCTCCCTCTGCCGGGCACGGCGGCGCGGCTGCAGCTCAAGCTGCTTCCCAGCACCCAGGCAGCGGAGGAGCAGGACAGGGACCAGAGAAGGGCAAGCTCTGCCTGCCTGCACAAGCACAGGGACAGACACGGGCTCACAGAGAGGTGGAAAACACAGGCATGTCCCCCTCGGTGGGCTCTGCAGGGGCTGGCAGCTCTCCTGGCTTCCAGAGCACAACATGGCACAGAACAAAGTGGTGTGTGTGTTGGGGGGGAGCAGGAGAGCTGGTGCCGCAGCCTTGCGCCTAAGCGAACAGACGCAGGTACAGGGATGGGAAGGCTGCAGGGAGCTGGCAGGGGCTCTTGGTGCAGCTCTGCTCAGCATCCATAGCCCGGGCCTCACTGGAGGCTCACAGGGCACACAGCACTGACCCATGTGCGTTTTACCTTGTCCACGCTCCAATGGGACAGGTCCTCCACCTGGCATCCCAACCTGCGGCTGCATCCCACCTGAGGGGGAACAGGAAGAGATCAGAGCCCTCCTCAACCATCCCTGC